GGTGGCTGGCTGATTGTAGGCTGGGGCAATGGTGCTGTCTGAGCCATGTATTGCTCATCATTTGCAGGCGGACCCAGGTTTATTTATAAGACAGCAGCAGGATTCTAAGAGGAAGAATAGAAGAGTGCAAGGCTCCTAGCACAATATTTCTTCCTCTATATCCTGTTGGGGAAAATGAGTCACAAGGATAGCAGATTGAAGGGATGGAACAATAGACCACCTTCTGGTGGAAGGAGTAGTAAAGTCATACTGTAAATAGGAGTGGATTTCTAAGAAGAGTGGAAAATTGTGACCATGTTGTATTTTTCAGGGCCTGCTTGTGTGTCTCTGGTCACCCGGCAGCACAGCATGTATACTTTCTCCATGTTTGTTTGACACATTTAGTAGATGAGTTTATATTTATCAATAACATTTTGTGTTATTATTATTAAAATCAGCATAGTTAATATTCTATTCTATACATGCTTTTGAACATTGTTTTTCTTTAAATTCACAATTATGTTTTGACATTTACTGTTTTGGTGAATTTGTCTCATATAATCTACATATTCTTTTGTTGATAGACATTAAGTACTTATCATTATTTTTTTATATCACTAGCAAAATAGTAATGAACATGTTTGTACACAATATCACGTATATATATGAGAATTTCTCTAGGTACTGTTCTTAAAATGGACCTGTTAGGTTCTAGAATAAATGTAGTTTCAACTTTATTGAACATTGCCAGATTGTCCTATAAAGTAAGGAAGAACAGTTTGGATACCTAATCAGGGCATATAATTTCCCCTTATATCCTTAAAACTACGCTTTGCATCATTGGAGTTCTTTTTATTCTTTGTGGACCCAATTGGAAAAGTATCATTATTTTTTTCTTCTCTGGGGCTCTAACTCAGGGGCCCCACATGCTAGACAGATGCTTTATTACTGAGCTTCACCTCTTGCCCCAAGTGTCATTTTAGTTGCATATTTATTTATTAAGATTAAATGTATTTTCATATTTATCCTGGCCAGATAATTTTCTTCTTCTGTGAATTATCTATTCGTGTATCTCAACATTTAATTGTCTTAACCTCATTAGTGTTTTCCTTTAATTGTTTATCTTTTCTTTTTGGTTGGTAGTAGCTTGAAAGATATGTAAGTACTGGAAACCAGTCCTTTTAAAGTTCTATGTATCATCTTTTAGGTTGTGTCATACTATTTAACTTTGTTTATTTTGTCTTCTGTTACATACATGCTTCTAATATTAAAATATAGCAAAAATGTCAGTATTTTCCTTTAGGGTCTGTACATTTTTTGGTCTTGTTTATGAACATTTTCATATGGAGATGTCATAAAGATGCTTTTCTAAGTTTTCTTCTAATGTTGAAAAGTTTTTCTCTTTATGTTTAAATTCCTTAGTTTCTGTGGAAACTACTTTGTATTGATGTAATGTAGGGATCTAATTTTATCTTTTTCCAGTAGGAAACCATATTTCCTGACACGAGTTTTTTAATGTGCTTCCTCTCTCAATGATTTGTGGTGCCGATTGGTCATATCCCAAGTTCCTGTGCAGACGTGGGCTTGTTTCTGGGCTCTTTATTCAGTGGGTCCATGTTCCCATCTCTTCACCATTGCTGTGCCCTTTCAATGACTCATATTTCCAATTCATTTTCTAGCTGGTAGGGATAACATCCTTGACTCCTCGAAAATTATTTTGACTCTTTTTGGCCCTTTCATCTTTCTCATTAGATTTAAGAGCAACTAGGCAGGTTAAAGGGTGGAAAATCCCAGGTAAAAAGAAAAAGCAGAACAAGGTAAGGGGATTGAGAATGCAGGGGGCAGGTGATGGTATTAAATAGCATGGTGAAGGTAGGCTTCGTGGAGAAAAGATTTGAGCAAAAACTTGTGGAGATGAAGAAGTTAGCCAAGGGTTTACTGGGAAAGAGTCTTCCAGGCCAAGGAAACAGGTGAGACAGATACATTGGAGGAAGAGCAAAGAGGCCAGAGAAACTGAAGCAGAAAGAACACAGGGAAAGTCCTGGGAAGGATGTTGGTTTTGTTCTGTGTGAGATGGGAAGTCATTGCAGGGTTTTGAGTAGAGTTGTAATGTGATCTGACTTAAATTTAAAAAGAATTGCTCTGGCTCCTGCATGAGTGTTGAAAGTAGGGAGCAAGTGCAGGAGGAGGAGAGGAATAATGTGGTTCTTGCAATAATCCAGGTGAGTGATATGGCGGCTTGGCCCCAGGAGGTAGCAGTGCAGGGGTGAAAAGTGGCTGCATTCTGGATGGATATATCTTACAGATAGAGTCATTAGAATTTCTGATTTACTCAGAAATTGGATGTAGGGTCTGGGGATGTGGCTCAAAGGGAAGTGTGCTCGCCTGGCATGCGTGCGGCCCGGGTTCGATCCTCAGCACCACATACCAACAAAGATGTTGTATCCGCCAAAAACTAAAAAATAAATATTAAAAAATTCTCTCTCTTTCCTCTCTCTCTCTATCTTTAAATTGGATGTAGGGGTGCGAAGATACCAAGGATGACTCCAAAGATATTGACATGAGCAGTTGGGAACTGTGGGAGGAGCAGTTTTAGGTAAAGAACAAAACTTGCCAAGTTCATGATGTCTACTAGACATCTAAGGGGAGATGAGTCTGGAGTCTAGGGGAGATGTTCAGTAAGGGATGTCGATTTGGGAGTCATCGGTATATACCTGGCACTTAAAATGTGGCCACCAGATGAGCTCACCTAGGAAATTAATATAGGGGTGTCCAAAGAGTAAGTTCCTTGTTAAGTCAAAGAAACATGCACAAGAGACCTTTCTGGAAATGTAGTACTATGTAGTACTATCTGTAAATAGACCCTTCATCATGAATTATAAGTTAAAAATGAATGATAAGTTAATACAGATTATGTATATCATATGTAAATATGTCTTAATTTACCAGCCTCAGCTCTTTAAAAACATGAAAATCTAGGAGTCAAAGAGTTGAGGCTAAGTAGCAAAGGATCTTTTGGGAAGCAGTGGACAGTTGTTACGAGAACGAAACAGTAAATCACAGGGTCCTGGCAAACAGTTCAGTATAATTCTCATTCTTTTTGTTTGTCCCTGGTATCTTTGTCTATATTTTTCACAGCTAACAGTTGGATTGAATGAACTAAACTCATGTTACTCACATTTGCTTAAATATGCAAATAATATTAATATGCAAACAATACATACATTAATTCAGGTTAACATCCTCATTCTCTGTTGACTTTTTGTGGAGCGAGCAAATAACTTGGAAGTGCTGCTAGACAGGATTGTCTCAGGCTAACACACCTGATTCCTACTGCAGAAGAGAAGCAGCTAGAGGGGGGGAGAATGTGATTTCACATGGAAGGGTCTTTGCTAAGATGAGCTCTGCAGGTGTGACAGTGTCTGATGATGGAATCACTGTGGTCTGTTTGCTCTGGTGCACACCCAGTGGCGGTTGTGGGTGTCTTTGTGAGCACAGAAGCAAAGATTTCGACAGTTTACATAGATATTAAATGCAGGTAGCACATCTGGTAAGCAATGGCTTCTTTGACTTTTATATAGAGGCCTAAGACATATGTCAAGCTTTATGACTTCAGGAACTGGCAGATGTCTATCTTTTAATACAAGGCCTCTGGAAGCATTATGCAAAGCATCCCAGGGTTTGAGTCACTGCCTTATGGAAGCATTCACTTTACAGGGTGTGGTATGTTGCAAGATACATGAAGTCACTTCTCAGAGGTGTATTTAGTAAGGGAGGATTAAAGAGAAGCAAATACAATTCTCAGCATCAGAGAAGGAACTTGTCAGCAAGTACGGGTTTTAATTGTTCCTTTTTATTTCTTCTTGCTGAAGAATTATGTAAAAATCTAAAGTCCAAATTGGGAAACTTAAATAGGAATTCAAAATATTGAAACACAATTTAACAGGTGAGGAAATAATACAAATCCTCTGTGGCAAAGTATGTCACAACAAACTCATACCAGCCTTCTGTATCTTCTGCTAGAAAACATGAATCAACATAGTTCTTGAGGAAGAAAATAAACGAGCTGAGGATCTGGAGTAGGAACTGGGTAAAATACTTGCATTTTGATAGAATGGAGTTTGGGGCATTATTTCACTATCACTGCATTAGCAGGAAAGATAGCATTTGTTTTAGTATATCTTACCCAAGAAGCTCAAAATGCTCTAAGACCTGTGCATTATTTGGTTCGTAAAAACATTCATGGGATAATTTGTAGATCATATTTAAAAATCAATTTGAACACGTTGCCTTGTATCCTATCTGGTAACCAGGTGTTACAATTCACCTGAAGCTTAGAAAGGAGGAGTCAGAGAACTAATCCACTGGCCCCTTGGGCAGGGTCTGTCTGGGACAGAGTCAGGCAGGAAGGAGTGGAAGGATTTAACTCTGGGGTGGCCATCATTGAATAGAGTGGGTTCCTTTTGAACATGGTGATTTAATTGTTTCTGCAGCTGTGAAAGGGACAATCAAAGAGGGACAGCCCAATGACCTGGCTGCGTGGTTTCCTATGGAACAGTCCTTCCAGGGGCACTCTATGTTAAGTGGATTTCTCCTAGACCCTCCTGTTGTGCAGGCTGCACCTGGCCACAGGTGGGCTGCCTGAGATAGTCGGTGGAGCCAGGCCGTGGGGGTGGCCTGATGGATGAGGGTCCTCATTTGTTTATCCATCTACTTAAAACGTTTCATTGAGGGCCATCTATGTGCCAAGAAGACTAGTAGGAGCTCAAACATAATGTTAAAAAACTAGACACGGACCCTGTCCATGTTAGTTTAGTAAGTTCATATAGAGTTAGAACTTGTGCTAAGGCCCCTCAAGGAAAGGGAGGGGCTTCAGTGATAGAGCATGATGGGGTGGGTGGGTGGGGAGGTGAGTGAGCCTGTGGAATAGGCCGGCCAGTGGCCCAAGGAGGAAGAGAAAGGGAGCCGTGCCTGTAGCCTTGTGGTCTAGCACCCAGGGTGACCTTGCTTCATTTTCCAAGAGGTGTGAGTCCAGCGCTGAAGGAGCAAGCGTCTAAGAGGAAGGGCGGCCTTTGCGATTGGAAGCTCACCCTGGCAGCTGCAGAAGGAGCACAGAGTCAGGGGAAAACCAACGTCGGCCTAACACAGCTACATGGATGAACAGGAAGGAAGGAGCGCCGCCATCCACATAGCCTCGCACCCAAATCCCCTGTGGAGGGAAAGGATTTGCATAAATGTCCACTAAGTGTCCAAATCCCCTGGGAGAGGTAAGTTTTTAAAAATTTCTTACTTGAAAAAACATTACATAAGCCTTTAAAACAGTACATGGATGTGTTACAAAGCAAGAGTAAAGTACCCACCAATACCGTTTAAACAACGACCAGGTGTTGTCACTTAATCCTCACAATGCCCTAGATGCCTCGACCTGCCAATGCCCAACCAGCATGAGTCAGAGTGATAAGGTCATTTGCCCAAGTGTACACAGAGAGTAAAAGTGGGCCTTGATGTTTGAGCTCGGCCAGTTTGTGTTTGTAACAATGATATCATATTGCCTGTCCTGGACATCCTTGCATTCCTATATTAAATATAGTAAAAATACTGATTTCTGAGTTTTACCCTAGAGTTACTGAATCTCCATTTTTGGAGATTTACCCAGGAATCTATATTTTTAAATGTTTCCAACAATTTTTTTCTATGTATTCCACAGACCAGCACTGGGGAATAGATGGAACAGTCTAAAAACTTTTCAGTTAGGGAAGTAAGTGAAACCTTATAGTTTATTACTAGCCATAAGGTAAATACAGAGTTATCTGGAAGCATCTGTGGATGGTGTGTGTGTGTGTGTGTGTGTGTGTTTTATGTAACCACACATGTGAAAAGTGCCCAGAATAAGACTAGAAAGGCATAAGAACCCTAAAACAGATACAGCTCTGAGATTCTGCCTTGCCCACCTGGAGCCAGTGAGATTGGTGGTCAGAACAAAAATGACACTTGTAGGGCATATTAGTCATTTGTTGAGATATTTGTAGCTGGTTGTTTAATAAAATTGCTTTATTAGTTTTCGTATGGTACGATAATAATAATAAAGACCCACCTAATTTATCTGTTTCTCCTACAGTTGTTACCGCTGTTGACCGGTGACGAGTCCTTGCTTCCCCAATGTTGAAGAATAACACCAAAGAAGCACGCCGAGGCAAGGTCAGAGTAGGAATTAGAAGTTTATTAAAGGACAGCAGAAAAGACTTCTCCCGGAGGAAGAAGGGGACCCAAGAGGTGGAATCCGTGGAAGTAAGAGGTGGAATCCCCTTTGTATAGTTTTGGTGATGGAATGTAGGTGGGAAGGCCCCAGGGGTGGGACACAGGTGGGCCAAAGAAGTAGTCTGAGCAGGAAGGACTTCATTAACACTTCTTTGGGATGGACTTTGGCCTAGGGCTTTTTCAGGACTTCATTAACATTCCATGAGTTGTCCTGTTTCCTGGAATCATTCTCAGCATGGCCTCCATTTTAGATTTCACTGGGTATTAGACCCGATTTACCTAACTACACTGACTACCTAACTTTAAATCTGGCTTCACAGTCACACCTGAATAGAAGTAAGAAATTATGGATCCATATAGGGCCTGGCCAGGGATAGCTCCTTAAGGACACCTGGAAGATACAGTTATATAACTGCACAGGGACAATTGTGACATAGCCTTGGGAGATGTGAGATCACTTCATTTTTGTTTCCTTACAGTGGATCTTTTATTCAATTTTACACATTAAACAAAATTCAGTTCACTGATTCACTTCAAGGTGAACCCTGAAGGCAACAGTTGGAAGTCTAAGTACGAGTCCTGGACAGACACACACACACACACACACACACACACACACACACACACACGTCCAGTAAGAGTCCTGGCATCTCTTTCCTTGGAGCCATTTTTATTCCTGAGCTCTCATTTTTTTTGACTCTTTATGAACCAGTGCCCACCATTAGCCCATTCATGTGCACCATTAAAAGAACAGTAGCTTCCTGGCTCCATTAGGCAATTTTTAAAATTCAGGAAAAAAAAAGGCAATAACTGTAAATCACTTACTTAAGGAAAAGGGATTAGAAGTGAGTGGAAAAGAAAGACGCCAAGGGTCATTCTCTATATTCATGATGGCTTTATTCTCCAGTCCTCATTTAATTCTGTATCTTTTTTTACTTTTGAAAGAAGCTTCTAAGATTTCCTTAACACTGTCGTTTACTTTCATTCTTCCTCTTCTCTTTTAAACAACCTTCCTTCCCAATTTTAATTGACTGGTTTTATTTTCTTGCCTTTGGATTGCAAATCTCTCTTGAACAATCAGAGATTTCAAGGTTGTGCTTCGCCTTGACTCTCACTCTTCCATCTTTCCCATATACTATAATGGGGGATTTTTTTTATTATTATTATTGGAGTATTGTACTGTGCTTCCATCTGTGATTTTTTTTTTAATTTGCTTTTCCTTTTCATCATTTGTTCTCAAATTCCTTTGATGCCTCAGGCCATTTGGTACTCTCACCCATTCTTTTCATTACTGTATGAGATTTCACAACCAGCTCGGCTTCTCTCCTCTACAGCAGACTGCAACTCACTGGAGCTGAGTGGCTCTCCTGACAGGCAGTGATTGAAGCACCATCACCCCCAACAACAACAAACAACACAAACACACCCGATTAGGAATGGACTTTAGCCTTTTACGTAAGACTAACAGGAGAACCAAGTTAGCATGACCCAGGGAGGAGCTTTCTAATCACTGGGAGGTTTTAGGGGAACAGTGGGCTTTGTGGATATGGTGAGTTTCCAGTCACTGCCTTGCTCAAGGGTGACCCATGTGTCTACTTGTCATGGGTGTGAAAGAGGACTTGGACTAGTCAATATTCTTTTTTTCATGCTTACTCTCTTCTAAGTGCATAGAGGTTTTCTAGAAGCTAGACCATCTGTTATTTTCTAAGAGATTAAATGCAGAAGGAGATATAGCTATCTTCTATTAAACTGGATTTTAAGAAGCTATGTAAAAATGTAAAAGGATGCCATTTTTCTAGTTAAATAGTTTTTGTTTTGCAAAAGAATTACTTTGCATAGAAATGCTATTTATATGAACACGTGATACACTTATTACTGTTATTTTCAATGAACGAATGCCTACATGTTTTAAAATCTTTGTTTAAATTTATAACATGGTATAAAGGTCCGGTGGAGCATGGGAGGAAGAGACCACACAAGAGACTGGCTCCATGCAATTGGCAAAAGGGGATTTATTAATTCAGCATGCTGAGGTTCCAGGCTCACTCAGGAAGATAGAGCAGCCCAGAGCCATGAGCAGAGGTCAAGCAGAGCTTAAGTACACTTTTTTTTTTGGGGGGGCTTTGCAT